TTTCCTTCCTCTTTTTCCTCCCCTTCCATCTGCATTTTTGCATTGCAAGTCAAGTAAACATCGAGCCCATTTTTTTTAATAGAGTTGAGAATGTCTGTGGTGTGGGGAGTGGGTGGCATAGAAAATAGTGTGATGTGTTGCTAGGTGAAGGCAAGCTGTGGGAAGCTCAGGGTCTCCGCAAACCCATCGGGTGTGGTGCTAACCTCTCCGGGGCTGAGCTTATGGAAAATGCTGGGCCTGCACCCGCTGGGCGCTCCTGCCAGCTTCCGTGGAGGGTCTTCCCTGGCCGGTGATCCGAGAACCTGGGGTTGCTTTTCGACACACCTGGGCCAGCAGGTGTTAGTGGTGTCGGCCGATGCTTATTGAGCACATACTATGTGTGACAAGCACTGTATTAGTGGTCTGGCTCCAGTGGCCATTTCAACCCATTTTACCAACGGGGCTTAGAGAATGTGCCCCAAGTCCCACAGCAAGCACAGGGCGGAGCGTCAGCCTTTGAGAGTGACTTAGAGGCTGCGGGCTCCAAGCATGATTCCTCGAGCGTAGCCTCGTCCCCTCTTTCCTCTCAAAGCCCATCTAGGGGCCCATCGCAGCCTTAGCCAAGGAGATGCCCCGATTATGCATTTCCCCCCAGACCAGCACCTGGGAGCCTCTCTCCAGCCATTCCCCAGCCTCGCCCTGTGATCCACATGTGTGCCGACACCCACACAATGACATAATCGACACCCTATTTCTCACAGCGACTCTGTGACAAGAATTCCAGCACACCATAGCCCCGATAGGACGTAGGGAGGCAGCAGGAGTCGCCTCTCAGAGCAGCAGGCCCTGCGCCTGAGCCACAGGCTGTCAGAGAAAGCGCTTCCTCCCGGAGCGGCCCGGGATGGAAAGGGAATAGATTTCTTGCAACAGCTTGTAATCTTTAAAAACCCCCGCCTTCGGGCTTTGTCCTCTGGCACGTTTCACCTGCTGGCGAGACCACTGTCCGGGCACTGACTCCCTGTCTTTCTCCCTGCAGCCAGCTGAAGGACTCGGACAAAGACCGGAGGCTGTCCGTGGAGATCTGGGACTGGGATCTGACCAGCCGGAACGACTTCATGGGCTCCCTGTCGTTCGGGATTTCCGAGCTGCAGAAGGCGGGGGTGGATGGCTGGTAAGGAAGGCTTGCTTTGGGAGCCGTAGGACAGCGGGTCCTTCCAGCGTGGGACCCAGACTGTCCCCCTTTTCCTCCTGCGAGTGAAGTGCTGAAGCCGAGTCGCAGAGTGAAGGCTGGTAGACTGGACTGGCCTCACTGATACGTTTTATTTGGTCCTCGTGCTGAAAAGAACGAAAAAGAATTAATTGCCAATATTTTAAAAGTCAGGGCTTCCCATAAAAATCTGGACTTATGTCTTGAAAACCAGAAGAATCTGGGCACACTGGGCCCAATTGAATGGGAACAGCGGACGAGTTCATGTCCCTTAGACAGGATTTTGTATTGCCACAGTCCCCACCACTCCCTGTTGTTTTACACCAGCCCCACTTCGCACAGTTATGTGGCCTAACTGGCCCCATGGCTAGAAAGCAGCTCTCACAATTTACCCCAAAGACGTGTGCACCACGGCCAGATGTGGCCTCTTTAGAAGTCTCCTTCCCGGGACTGCGGCCACGCTGGGGCTGGCCGGCCAGGCAGTAGCATGTCTCCTTTGTCTGAGCTTTTGCCCTGGTCCCTTCCTCAGGCAGAAACTCCTTGCCCGTGTTCCTAACAAGGAGGCTGGGGAGCCCCCTGGGCAGCCGTCTGGGTGAAGGCGTCTGAGGGTCCCACTGGCGCTGTCTGCTTGGGAGAGTGGTCGTGGCAGCTCTGGCTTCTGGAAGAGAAATTCTCACATTTCTGAGTGGTCTCGGGGCCTTTTCAGTTACAAGTGAAAGTCAGTCCAGATCAAACTGGTGTAGCAAGAAAGAGACCGGATCACCGGGACCACCTTGCAAATGCCTTGTCTCTCCTCCTACTGACCAGGGGCTTCTTCAAACTCACCCTATGTGTCCACTCCGTCTGTCACTAGAGGTACTAGTACCTGAGTGTGGACAGATGTGCTCTGCGGAGCTGGCTTCCGGAGGGGGAGGCCTGTGAGGGAGGAGGGGCTCATTAGGAAATGCTCTAGAGAGCGAAATCACGGCATGAGCAGACAAGCCAAGAGGAAAGAGGACAGAGCCCAGGGCAAAAAAGAAAAGAAAAGAAGCAAGTGCCTTGAAGCAAATGCACAAATGGTTAAAGACACCATTCTCATAAAGGAGAATTTGCCGTGGCTCCCCTTAGCTCACCAGGAGGAAACCAGGAGAGGGGGCCGCTGGCCCGAAGGTGTGTGCAGAGCTGGGCCGTCTGGGCCCCACTGGGTTGGAGCAGGTGATGGTGCTGTGAGGGAGGAGGGGCTCATTAGAAAATGCTCCAGCAGGATAACAGGTCACAGCATCATCTTCTTGCCTTTCCCCCAAGTTTTGGATCATTGTTCTTAACAGATGGATGCGTTACCTTTGCACACTGCCCCGTGACTGCTCCCAGATTCCGTGTCCTTCCCCCTTAAGTCAGGCCTAGAGAGGGCAGAGGGAGGGCACGGGACCCGGGGGTCTGGGGAGACGGAGAGAAGACACTGGGAGACCATGATTATTGCAGCAGCCGCCGCCGCACCGTCACACTGGGTCGCTGGCACTAGGCTGACCACTCGCCAGATTATAGTCACACGGATGAGCGGTGACCAGATGTGCAGAGAGCCCCTGTACTACATGCGAGCTCGGAGCGGGGGGATGGGGGACTGTGCAGCTGTGGGGCCCCATCTGGCTTCACGCTGGAGTCCCAGCATGTGCTCTTCACCTCTGGGAGGTCCCCCCACATTGTCCTCTTTGTCCCACCCCCAGGCCACCGCCAGGCTGCAACCCCTCAGCACATCCTGCCCCTCACGTCGGAGTCTCCTGCTGGGGAGCCCTCCACCTTCCCCTCCCGCAGCTGCTCTCTCTGGAGGTCTCTGCCCAGGGCCCCAGGAGGGGCACAGCCCCTGCTTTCGCCCCACCCTCACCCTTCTCCTTCCTAGGGTTCTCTGGGCCCCAGAGGGCAGGGCTGTGGCCACGGGTGCTGCTGCCCTCCTGGCCCCACAGCAGAGTGCAGGGAGGACAAATGGCTTCACGGTGAGGGACAGCATGTCAGGACCACGTCCCGTTATTACTGCGTGTACACCCGCATGGTCCGTGAATTCTCCAGCCGCTCTGGGCGGAGCACTGTTCCTGGGATCAGGGTAGTTCAGCAAGATGTGGGGGGCACACGGCTCAGAAGGGACAGGTCTGGGGTTTGGCCCAGGTCATGGCAGTGCAGATGCACCCTGCCTCCTGCCACAGGGGCAGAGCCGGACCACAGAGCCTCCTAGCGGGAGGGGTGCTGTGGGACTCGGAGCCCTGTCCGCTCTCTGCCATGGCCCCCTCAGCAGATAGGACTCGCTCTCCACAGTAATTACAGCTCCGCCCCGCCCCCTCCACCTTTTAGGAAAGCTGTGAAGTCGATGACATTGTAGTTGGGAGGGAACTTTTGCAAAATAAAAGCCCTCTTCAGATTTTGCAGATGAATGTCCTCTTCAGATTTAGGGTCAAAACATCTCTGATTCTGTTTTACCTCTAAATGTATCGAATTTTAGAAATTTGGGTTCTTGTTCCAGGAATTCTTTTTTTTAAAAAATATATTTTATTGATTTTTTACAGAGAGGAAGGGAGAGAGATAGAGAGCTAGAAACATCGACTAGAGAGAAACACTGATCAGCTGCCTCCCGCACACCTCCAACTGGGGATGTGCCCGCAACCCAGGTACATGCCCTTGACCGGAATCGAACCTGGGACCCTTCAGTCCGCAGGCCGACGCTCTATCCACTGAGCCAAACCAGTTTCGGCTCCAGGAATTCTTTTAACACTCTGTAGTCTGGAGTAAGTCACGCCCGGCGGGCGCCAGCCTCGCCCCGCTGCCTTGCCGCCAGCTCCGCCTGAGCCCGATTCTCCTCTCGGTTCCCCGTTTATTTATGCTGTCTCCTTGCTTCCCCTTCTTTTCCTGAGGTTCGTCTGTCTGATTGTTGTTTCCCCCAGAGGATCGGCTCTGGGATGTGTGTATCGAGTCTGCGCTTCTGTGTCTCCTTCCTGGAGGTTTGTGCTGTGCTCTTTGGATTTCAGCTGAACATTTTGCTAATGTGATTTCCTCTCTTAACTTCTTCCGCGCTTTAAAAACAACGACCAGGCATTGGAGGGAAGAGATTTCCTCCATATTCTGACAGGTTGCGTTCTAGCTGTTCTTGCTTAAGCAAGGTCTGCAGGTGGAGTGTTAACTTCCTTCCCAGCGGCGTTCACAGTAGCCCCTCTTATCCGTGGGTGGACCCCACTGCTCTCCTGGAGCTCCTGATGGTACCGCACCCCGCACAGGCCATGTTCCTCCTCCACACACACCTGTTCACTACAGGAAGCACCCATGGCTTCTCTTGACGTAGCCGATGCCAGCTTCACGCCGCCTAGGCTTTGGGGCCACTCTTAGGTAAAACAGGGGTGACTTGAATATAAGCCCTGGGGTCCTGGGACAGCCGCTCTGGCCGCTAGGGCGGCCGCTAAGTGACTGACAGGTTGCCTCGCTGGAGCAGGGATGTCACCGCGGGGCTGCCGCTCGCTCCTGCTTTAACAAGGAGGTGGCCCTGGGCGCAGAGCCTTCGGTTCTCCCGTCTACTTAGACTTGGGCACCACTGAGTTGATATGTGTATATTTTTACGTTACCTGGTCCTTGTAACAAGTTAGGTTGGCCTTATGTGTAAGAGAGATCAAGTGTCCTTTCAAAGTGAATTTATTGTTTAAAAAGATAATGTAGTGAAAATCATTAGTTGATAATATCCAGATTTATCGAGATCTACGAAGGTGAACAAAGTGTGCCAACCCCCCCTCCATGCCTCATCCTGCGACTTTCCTTGGTGGAGATTCCCAGAATCCCTGCTGTGTGCGGGGCACCCTTAGTGACTTCTGGCAAAGACATAGATGTTCTCTCTTTGGCGTTCCTTTTGGAATTCCATTGGGAACTGTGAAGGGGAGAATTGGATATTAAATGTGGAGGCCCGGCTGGTCACCTCTGCCTGACTCACCGAGCCCTTATGTGTAGAAGCTGCCTGGGGTGATTAGTGAACGGAGACAGGGACTGTGGAGAAAGGGGTTGGATGATGCCCATCGTGGTTAGGAGGCCTCTTGCGGAGCTAGGCGTTTGGGGCTCTCTCCCTCCTGGCTCTAATGCCTGCTGACGCCCTTTCCTTCCTCGCTCTCCTCTCACTGACTGGGGGACGCAGTCTTGGTGGTCAGGGAAAATGGAAGCATCGAGTTTATTTAATGACATTACTCTCAGTGATGGTGATGATGTGCCTTTTATTGAACACGTGCTAAGTGCCAGGACTCTGCCCGTTTTTCATGCATCATCATATCTTGGCTTCACAATGACCCTATAAAAAGAGGCTTTCATTCCCTTTAAAGATGAGAAAACTCAAGACTCGGGGGGCCTAGCCAGCGTGCCCAGGGGGCAAAGGCAAAGGTGCGACCGGAGGCCGACTCCAGGACTCATGTCCCTGGCCACGGAGGGCGTCTGTTTCTCTCGAGTCCGAGCACTTTGGGGCACAGCCATGAGAGTGCCCAGTGCCCGGGCAGCACGCCGCAGCATGCGTGAAAGAAGGGGGCGCCGCAGTGCTGGGACAGGTACAGGAACGCGGGCACCGAGAGCGTCAGAGCAGCTTCCAGAACAGATATCACCCCGCGGGCAAACAGTAGGAGCCAACTTGCAGTATGGAGTGATATAACTAAGACAGTTGTGGGGAGAAAACGAGAGTACATTACATCCTTTAAGCACAGAATGTACTTTTTCTGATGTCCATAGAATAGTTACAAAAATAAAAATACATAGCATACCCGGCTGCACGCGCGCGCACACACACACACACACACACACGCACACACACACACACACACGACCCAGAACAAAAACCCTCCGCATGTTAGAGTAGAGCGAACCTAGGCCTCCTCCCCTGGTTCTACCGATGAGATCCTCCTGCGTGGAGTCATGGAATTGTCCTGGCCCTGTCTCCCTTTAGGTTTAAGCTGCTGAGCCAGGAGGAGGGCGAGTACTTCAACGTGCCCGTGCCGCCGGAAGGAAGTGAAGGCAACGAGGAGCTGCGGCAGAAGTTTGAGGTGAGCTGTCCGGCTCTCTGCCTCCGTGGGAACCAGGGAGCCTGCCTGTGCTGTCTGTCCCATTCATGGCGCTGTTCCTAGCGCGGCCTTTCCTAACCCCAGGCCTTGCCATGGTGTCTCCCAGAACACTACGATTTAGCTTCCAAAACCTCAGTTAAATGTCCCTGCTTTGTGAGGCCATCCCTGCCTCCCCGTGTTCCTGCAGATTTAGACTTTTCTGGAAAGTGCTCGTTCTCTGCCGGGTGGTTTGGTGATGTGGTCAGGGGCGGGGGTGATGGCGAACACAGTGACAGAGCAGTGATGTGTTCTGGCGGCTGAGTCAGGGGGTTTGCTGAGGGGTAGGGTCTGGGTTGGGTGTATTGGCAGGTCGTGCTGTCGTGTGGAGAAATGGAACTGACTGTGCTGGTGACTCCATGAAATACCCGTGGGTGTATCTTCCAAAGATCCGAGCCCTGACCGTGGCCCCGACCTTGGGCTCTAGTTCTGGCTCTGCTTCTGCCTCCGACACCCCCTGCCCTTCTGTGGGGCCAAGTAGACCCTATTTTCATCTGCCTGAGAGCAGCTGGATGTAGGTACATCCCAGTTTCATGGAGAAAGCGTTTTGGGAAGAGGGGCCTGCGTTCTTTCATTATTTGTGTACTGAGTGTTTTTAAAGTTGTTCCATGAGGGAAAACGATTTTGTTCATGTTTACCAATTTTAGATAAGCAGTGGTGGTTTACTGACTGAAAAAATGTACAGCATAGCTAGAAAAACAGATCGCCATCACTGCTACCTATAAAAAACCCCACAAGCAAATGAAAAAATACAACCAGGGAATGCTCTTTGGACGAGAGGCCCACGGTACTTTGAGGATGTAGAGGGAATGTAAGCTTGTCTGGAGCATGGGGATGGCGTCCCTGAGGAAACAGCAGCGGGAGTTACCAAGTGAAGAGGGGAAGCATCCCGTGCAGAGAGGGCAGCACGTGCAAAGGCCCTGTGGCAGGGAGTGGCAGCCGCAGCATGAGTCTGGCCACAAAGCACTGTGGGAGAGCAAGGAGAGCTGGAGGTGAGCTGAGGCAGGGCTGTAGTGGGAGGGCAGGCCCAGGAGGTCTGTGCTGGCCAGAGCAAGGATTTGCCTTTTATTTCGAGAGCCATGTTAGTTTTCCCCTGAACTTGACAGAAACAGCACTTGAGTGTTGACCCATATCTTGAGCCTGTGCCCTCCACAAAACCTGGACAATGGTGACAGCCCTGACCCCGTGGGATATCCTTTCCTGGAAGCAAGTGGAATAAGCATGCTGGCCTTGAGCTTACGCTGAACTTGGTAACTGAGGGTCATTCCCGTGCACTTGGGTCAAGGCCAGAGGCGCTGAGGGACGGACTTCCCACCCAGCCGTGCTGAGAGCTGGACACTGACTGATAAACAGTCCTTCCCGAGACCGTTTCTGTCTCTCCCTCCCCGGAAGGCATGTCCATTTGCTGCTGGTCAGTGTGTTACTGTGGGTGACAAACACCAGGGCAGCTTTCCCTCTACACAATGAAGTCGCAACTTTGCAAAATGATGTCTTCTGTCCTCAGGCAGAAGGAACACAAGGATCACATTTCCTGCGCGAGCAGAGCTTTTGCCGGGGCCAGTTCCTGACGTGAGGGACCGGGCCGTTTCGCCCCGTGCTCCCGGCAAGAGCCCGTGCATGCTGGCGTGTACCTGGGTGATAATTGCTCCGGGCCAGAGCTGTTGGCTAAAACATGTTTCCAACAGACTGAGAGCTGTTCTCAGACACACAGAGGAATTTCAGTTGACCTTGAACTGGAGAAATTGTAATCCCTGTGCAATAACCAATTAGCACCTAGAATGACTCAGACATTATTTTAAAGTCTCTGATCTGGAGAAATTCCGAGTGACGGTAAAGTCAAGCTGTTGGAGTTGGGGTAATACTTCACAGTTGGGGTGTGTGGGGTGCAGCTGCCACGTGTGGTGCATTCCAGAAGGTCAGAGTGGGCTGAAGGACTGTCTCTGACTGTGGGCTTGCCGATGGGCCAGGGAAGGGAAGGCACCATTCCGGATGTTCAGAATGGGTTTTCTGAGATTTTTTTAAAAAATTTCTTAGAGTTTTTGGATTTAAATGTGCCGACTATGTGCCGTGTATTATTTTAAGTGCTTTAGAAATACTAGCTCGTTGAATTTCCTCCTCGTGACCCCTTTGAATGGTAGAGGCTATTAGCAGCCCCATGTCTCCTTCCCCAGTGAGGCCCCGAGAGGTTCAGCCGCTTTCTCACATCCCACACTGCTCACTGCCCTGCCTTGTGAGTCCCCGCAGCGGACGGACTATAAGGACTCGAGCGCAGGCATTTCTCTGGAGGAGGTCCGAAGGGATGTGCAGGAAGTGGGGGACCAAAGTGCACGTGCTGTCAGCCACATACGCTGTGGGCACCGGGGTTTTGTCCACGTGTGCTCAGGGTTCCCAGTCGAGGGGCAGGAGGCTGAAGTACCCACTTGGGCCCTTCCTTTCGTGCTGAGGGCTGCTTCCAGGGAGGTAACTTGCCAGCACTTCCCACTTGCCCTGCCAGTGGGTTGTGTGCTCGTGCACCAGGGGAGCCCAAGGCAAGGCCACAGGGGTCCTGGGCCAGCAGCCCTCTGTGGAGAGGATGTCCCACCAGGCCCTGGGGTTGGGTGCACCACCCTCCCAGCACGTGCATGTGTCCACCAGCCCAGAAGCTCTGCACACCCCACAGTTTGAGGAATTTGTGAGGCTTCATTATGCAGGCACAATCGATCGGTTATTAACTCCATCTCCAGCCCCAGAAGATGGGGGCCGAAAGTTCCAAGCTCCCAGTCATGGTTGGTCCTGCTGGGACAGCCTCCATCCAGAGGACATTCAGGAGCCCACCAGGAGTCCCCGTGTTAGGAAAAAAGGATGCTCCTATTACCCAGGGAATCACAAGGGCTTTAGGAACTCAGATCAAAGGCCAAATAGTAGAACAAAGGGCACTCCCTGCAGCCCTGTCACCCAGGAGACTCCAAGGGTTTCAGGAGCTCTCTGTCCGGAAAACCCGGGGCAGAGACCACACATATACTTCTTATTGTGTCACATCCTATGGCTCCATGTAGGTGACGCTACAACACTGACCTCCAGGGATGGAGGGGGGAGCAGGGAGTCCTGTGTGGGAAGGAGGGAGGGGCCGCAGGACTTCCTGAGGGTGGAAATGTTCTGCATCCTGATCGAGGTTTGGGTTACTTGTGTGTATACATTTGTCAGAACTCACAGAGCTGCGCACCTAAGATTTATGCATTTCACTATATCCACCTCAACCTTTAAAACATTAAAACGAAAAAAAATGGTGGATGTTTTGTCAGCTTGACAAGCAGAATGCTGGTGGAACCACCCGTGGAGAAGACCGACACCGGGCAGTTTTAAGGCTCAAGGGAAGGGGAAATCTCGCTGACTGAAATCAGACCAGCCACCGCTTCCCCCTTCCGCTCACACGCCCAAGTTTACCCTCCCCCACGTCTCATCTCACTGAAGAGCGCCACCACCCTCCCAGGTGCTCCAAACAGAGCTGTCCTTCACTCCTGACCCCTCTCCCCCGATCGGTATCCAGCCCTGAGAAGTCCATCTCCCGCTTCATGCCCTCCACCCTGCAGACACTGAGCCAGGCCCCGCCATTTCTCACTGTGATGACTGCGGTCACTTCCTAAAGGTTTCAAACTGGCCTCTAACTGGGTCCCTTCCCTAAACTCAGCATGCTCTTCCCAGGGCCCTGTGACAGCCTCCTGTGTTCAGATCAGCTCAGACTCCTTGATGGGGGTGTGCAAGGCTTTCTCAGCTCCTGGCTGCCTCCCAGGCCACATCTGCCTGGCCTTCAGTGCTCCAGCCAGATTTTAGTCTTTGAATGTGTCTTGTTGTTGACTCCATAAAGGCTTTCTGCTGCTGACTCCAAAATTCTTCAC